ACAGTACAGTACAGTACAGTACAGTACAGTACAGTACAGTACAGTACAGTACAGTACAGTACAGTACAGTACAGTACAGTACAGTACAGTACAGTACAGTACAGTACAGTACAGTACAGTACAGTACAGTACAGTACAGTACAGTACAGTACAGTACAGTACAGTACAGTACAGTACAGTACAGTACAGTACAGTACAGTACAGTACAGTACAGTACAGTACAGTACAGTACAGTACAGTACAGTACAGTACAGTACAGTACAGTACAGTACAGTACAGTACAGTACAGTACAGTACAGTACAGTACAGTACAGTACAGTACAGTACAGTACAGTACAGTACAGTACAGTACAGTACAGTACAGTACAGTACAGTACAGTACAGTACAGTACAGTACAGTACAGTACAGTACAGTACAGTACAGTACAGTACAGTACAGTACAGTACAGTACAGTACAGTACAGTACAGTACAGTACAGTACAGTACAGTACAGTACAGTACAGTACAGTACAGTACAGTACAGTACAGTACAGTACAGTACAGTACAGTACAGTACAGTACAGTACAGTACAGTACAGTACAGTACAGTACAGTACAGTACAGTACAGTACAGTACAGTACAGTACAGTACAGTACAGTACAGTACAGTACAGTACAGTACAGTACAGTACAGTACAGTACAGTACAGTACAGTACAGTACAGTACAGTACAGTACAGTACAGTACAGTACAGTACAGTACAGTACAGTACAGTACAGTACAGTACAGTACAGTACTTATATTACAATTTAAAAAAAACGAACAATCATCTCCATGCTTAACATAAACATTTATTTTAAACCACCTCCATAACAACGGTTGCTATGGTAACCGTTTCCATAGCAACCGTTGCTAGGGTAATCAACAACACTAGTAGATCCCAACAGGTGGTTGTTGGGTGTCGACGAGTCTCATGTCTCAATTTAGAGAAGTCTCAAGCCTCAATTGCGACAAGTCTCATGTCTCAATTGAGACGAGTCCTAAGTCTCAATTGTGACTTAAAACTCGTCAATTGAGACAAATCTCAAGTCTCATTTGAGAAATAATAATTTGCCTTTTCAACAGGCAAGGGGTTAACCACTTTATTTTAACCCTTTTATTACCCTTGGATACATTGTAAACAATTTTTACCGCCATCTTAAATAATTATGGTAACGAAAACTAAAAAAAATTTGATTTTTTGAAAAAAACTCAGTGTATTCTCCTCTTAAGTGAATTTGAATTTGTGTTATAGCTAGTGACTTTGCGCTACGCTCCGAAGCGATTACACCGTAGCGATTTGGAACAAAATCTTGACCAATTCGCTAACTCGTAGCGCCGATAGACTTTGTTTTTTATCTTACACGCCACTAATTAATTTTTTTGACAAAATTCAAACGGGAGTTGATCTTGATTATCATATACAATAAGTCTGTAAAAAAAATTAATTTTTTAGTGCTAATTAATGCAATGCGCTACTTAGCGCCGTTGCTAAAAGGAATCCCATAGCTGGTCTAAGATATTTCCCAGAGATGTTCCTTAATGTTCCTAGTTCACGTCAGGCAAGAGTATCAGGTACATACCTGATTCTTCAACCCAATCGTTTCCCTTCTAGCTTTCTTTAGAAACGATTATCTCAGAGTGCACGATATAGTTTTCGTTTGCCGTGATAGCTTAACTTACATTTTGGATAAATTACGGGATTAGCTCCTGGCGAACGCGATCGCGAATATTAAAGGTACCTTTGTATCATTTCAGACAAGAAACTGGCCAGAACAATGTGATAGAGGGCGGTGCTGTCGAGCAACGTGAGAGATCTGGATGATCTACTCAACCTAAACCATTTGCATTATATCGAGTCATTAAGGGGCCGTCCATAAACCACGTAGACAGTTTAGGGGGAGGGGGTTCAGTGAAATTCTACGGTAAACTATGTGGGGGGGGTTTGAACCATGACTACGTAGTTTTATTTATTAAGTAATTTATTTTTATAATTTTGAAATAGCGCGGGTAATTGCAATATCGAACCGATCAATAATCGATCTAGACAAGTCGATGATTCAAATCTCGCCGAGTCGATTAGAATCGGAATCGTCTGTCTTTTACCGGCTTATTTTGTTTACATGCGAGCGCAAGTTGAAACCGGCATTCAACGCATGTATTTTTTTATGAAAGTGCAATAAATGTTGTTCCCTAAATGTCGCTATATAATAAATTATTTGATGCCTACAAAAAGTGTTATTCAGGAGAATTTTCGAAGTCGAAAATTCAGAATGATGTGAACGAGCTGTGGAAAATACTAAAAGTGGATAAATCGTCATTGAATCAAAATGTAGAGAAGAAAATAAAAGAGTTTTTGTAATTAAAAACCAAGAAAGATGCATCTCGACTTAGTTTTTTCACTCATTCTCTACAGGTATGTATTTTTTTATGTCACTTGTAGTCTAATATTAATAAAAAATCTTGTAATCATGATTTGACTATACAAATTTTCTAGTACTGCGTTCATCGTGTCAGTTTTATTTTACTTTTGTTTCTTTTTTGTTTGTAATTTTTTATTTAAATATATAAACATAAAATAAATTTTTTTGTAGAATAAAATATGTATTAATTGTTGAAATTATTATTATAAGTTTCCGAAAAATAAGAAAAATAATTAGGACGCATGAATATGACCAAAAAATTATTAAACCACATTTTTATTGTTGCGAATTCACCTGCTTTTAAAAAAATTACTTAAACAAAATAAATTAATGCAAAAAATATTGTAAATAAAGTTTTATGAATTAAGAATTCTATATTTCACTAAATTTTAATTCGCTTTAATTTTAAATAAGTCACATTTTTGTTTATCGTAATAATTAATAGGATGAATTTCATTTCTTCGATTCTGCTGTCATAACAAAATGATAAATACATTATTATTTTATTTTACTAAACATTTATTTTGTAAGAATTTTTTAGTTAAACTTATTTTTTATTAGAATTAATTTTTAATTGAAGTCGATGGTTATGTAATGTTAATATTGTTAATTAAATAATCGCATTTTTAAGAGTTTTTTAAAAAATTATATTACTTAAAGTTTTTATTTAAAATTATTTTTTCTTATTAAAAATCAGGCTTAACTAACTTTTTTACAGGTCTGTTAAATAGAATTTAAATCCATTTACATATGAAAAATTATATAAAAGCATAGTCAAGAGAATGTAATTTATTTAAAAAATTACTAGTATAAATAGCAATGCGTTTAACAAATTAAAAATTCATCTTTAGTGTAGATTTTTTATTGCTTATTGAAATTATCACTTCTAAAAACTGTATTAAAATATTCTAAAAACTACTGTAACTTAAAGAAAAATTTTTTTAAAAATTAATTTTTAGAGATCTGCACGTGAGAACATCCACACTTCTGACACTCCATCCACTTCCGACACTCCATCAACTTCTAACTCTCTATCCACTTCCAAAAATGCTTCCACTTCCAACATTCAATCCACTTCAAATAATGTTAGTGCTAGTGTTGAGATTCCAGTGATTGAAGAAGCCGACAGTCCTATAAGAGGTAAGCGGTTTATCAGTTCAATGGAATTAATTATTTTAATTAAGAAAGTGGAAAAAATGATTTCAATTAATATTTTCAGAAAATAAGCGTAGAAGAGTTGAACGAATTGTGAGAAGTGACGATGAAGAAGACAAAACAAAATGTACAGTGACTACAAGTAACAGTACAGGCCGAAAATATGACACTCCTGTTCAAGACACTTTAAAGGCTAAAATAAGTTTAATCGAGAAACAGCTAATTGCAAAAATCGAGGCACGTGATTCGGGTCTTGCTGGGCCTGAGATCCAGAAAACGATCAATGAATTGAAAAAGAGTCTGCAAAGCTTGCAAAAAAATATCTACTTCAGAGAAAGCAAGCACTGACTTTAATGCGAACAGAGAATCCAGATATCGCAAAGGCTTTACACATAAGTTGAAGAAATAAAGAAAACAAGTGAACACTTATATTATAACAACTTATATTATCCGTTTTAAATTCGAAAAGCACCAGGCAGGCCAAGACTTGAAGACGATCAACCCGAGCTGCTGAAAACTATTATTAACCTCGCGATGCATGGAGGAGCTGCTGACAGTCGTCGACGTACGGAGTTACTTCAGAGTTGTAAAACGTTGGAAGACTTACATATCGAACTCGAACCACAAGGCTTTTATTTGTCAAAAAGTGGTCTTTATTTACGACTTCTTCCTCGGAACTCTCGTACAGTAGAAGGGAAAAAGCACGTCAACAATGTCAATATGAAACAGGGAACCCGATGCAGACGTGGGCCCGGTCTGGCTCCGGTCTACCACGCGATCTGAAAATTTCTTCAGGGAAATAATTACATGTGGCAAATTTTTAAAAATATTTTTTTAGCTTTAGCTACAATGACATTTTTTTCATAGATCTGTGGAGCAACTTGTCTCAATATTAGGTGCTAGACAAGTCGCTGTCATCTCTCAAGATGACAAATGCAGGATTCCTCTAGGCCTAAGTGCTGCAAAAAAGCAGGCACCTATTCTGATGCACTTGGAGTATAAAGTGATTTTACCAGATCATGACTGGGTTGTAGCACCTGGTCATAAAATTATTCCAAGCGTCTATGAAGGTATTAAGGTAGAAGACGGCAAGATCAGGGATCCAAAATCAGTGTCATATTCAGGACCGACGTATATTGCGATACGCAGTGCAAAACATTGCTCTAGCACCGCAGCGTCACACGCATTTGATTTTCAGGAGCTTATGCATTTAGAATCTTTTAAAGACATACTTTTTGGTAAAATCAGTTAAAATACAAAATTTTATTACATAATTGTAAAAATTAGTTTTAATAAAATTATTATTCGTTCAGATGGAGATCAAGTAAAGCCCGTTCTAGTGATCATGTCGGATGGTGGACCGGACGAAAATCCCCGCTACCGAAAAGTGATTAATCATGCAATGGATCATTTCAAAATGTTCAACCTCGATGCTCTGTTCATCATTAGAAATGCTCCTGGAAGAAGTCCGTACAATCGGGTTGAAAGACGCATGGCTCCTCTAAGTCGAGAGCTTGCTGGTTTGATACTTCCTCACGACCACTTTGGTTCACATCTTAATAGTAGTGGTGAAGTAATAAACAAACAACTTGAACTGCAAAATTTTCAATTTGCTGGGGAGACTAGCAGCGGTCTGGAGCAAAATGGTAATTGACGGGTACCCAGTTGTCACAGAATACGTGGGCCCAAATTGTGAAGCTGAAACTCCAAGTATTGTATCAGCCGAATGGTACAGTGAGCATGTGAAGGAGAGTCAGTACTTTCTACAGGTTTGAATTATCATACTAAAGTCATAAATTACATGTTACTTTTGATTTTTAAACAATCAAAATAAATCATTAAAAAATAATTCTAGATAGTGAAATGTGCTGACAGACAATGCTGTGGAGAATGGAGGAGTAACATAAAGGACGTTCTTTCAGTGAGTGACGGTTTTTTACCACCTCCTTTCCCATTGCGCAGGACGGATGAAGGAAAACTTTTCATTCCTGACCTAGATGACATTAAAGAAGATGACAGTTTTCCTGATCTTTTTCTTCGTCAATCTATTGGAATCAAACCTGTCACTGCAATGGGAATTAATATTCCTTACGATTATTACTGCCCTTCAGTGCGGTATGAGATTGAAGGTAAAATTAAAGAGCAATTAGACATTTAAGTTTAATTTTAATTTAATCTTGATTTAGTAGTACCTTTCTTGACCCGATGAAATTTCAGTCTACTGAAGTTATTGTTGTTAAGAGGAGTCAATTTTTTCTGTCATAATTTAGGATCCAAAATTATTTATATATTATTAAAATTAAAAAAAGCTATATCTCATTTTTAAAGATTTTTTTTAAATTCATACGATTGACTGTTTAAATTTATTTTCCTTAAAAAATAATTAACAAATTAATTTTTTTTAAATTTTTCATATCATATAATTTTAAATAATCAATATTGTGAGAAAAAAATTGACGATACTAAACAGCATTAATTTCGATGGCTTTAAATTTTGCTAATCTCTTCCCTCAATTTTTTTCAATTGTACTTTTCTTTTTCTTTCTTTTCTTTTCTTTAATCAAAACTAACTTCTTTTAAAACTTTTTAAATATTTAAATAACTGTGTACTTTCACGATAACCTATAACAATGTTATTTTATTTTCAGGAAGAACGTGTGATTTTTGTCTAGCCTATTTTGCAATATTACTGAAAAACAGCGAGCAAAAAATGTAATTTCAAAGCGGGCCACAGAATTACTGTGTGAACTTGAAATTCCAGAACCTGTGGATTTTCCAGAACCCGTGGTAGAATGGATTGAGGAAAACGACGTGGAAGTAGGCGTACATGATGTACCCGAAATTCAGTCAAACGAAAATGTTTTTCCCGTAATAACCAATTTACATGATTGGTTAAAGTTGCCATTTGATTCCGAAGATCTCTAACTTTATTTATATTTAAAAGTTTAATTGTTTAAATGTAAAGAAGATTTTTGACAAATTTATATTTAAAAGTTATATTTAATATTTAATACCCACACAGCACCGAAAGTTTCCTAAACCTGTATTAAAGCTGTGCGTGCCAAGTTGGAAAAATTTACCGTAAAGCTTAGCACAGGTTGTGTAAATATGTAAATGTCCGCAATTGAGTAAATGTTTAGCGTAAAACTGTACTGAATCTTTAAATTACGTATTTAGTACAGGTTTAGCGTAAAACTGTACTGAATCTTTAAATTACGTATTTAGTACAGGTTTAGCGTAAAACTGTACTGAATCTTTAAATTACATATTTAGTACAGGTTTAGCGTAAAACTGTACTGAATCTTTAAATTACATATTTAGTACAGGTTTAGCGCAAAACTGTACTGAATCTTTAAATTACATATTTGGTACCCCTATCGAAAATTCCGATATCGAAACCTATATAGGAAACTATATGGGAAACTATATTGTTTCCCATATAGTTTCCTATATAGGAAGCTATATATAGCTATATATAGCGTCAATAATATAAAAAAAAAAAATTCTTCCGACGTGTTGACTCTGAGACGCAAACCCTCGACCATCATAGCTCTCAACCGCACTGGGAGCGCCTTAACGGGCTCGACCAGGGGAGGCTATGAAATATCTTGAGAAAATGTCTCTTATAACGAAAATACTTTAAACAGATACTTATATTATTTTGTAAAGTCATCAAACAGTTTTTCAGATGTTTATTATTACAAAGAGTATATTATTGTATACATATATTTTTTTCCAATGGTATATGCGTTTTAATACCCAATTTTATATTCGGAGTTTATTAACTTGGAACTTTTAAAAACTTGAGAATTCTGTCAATGTAACTTATTTTCCTTGTTTAAAAAAAAATAATTATTGAATTGTAGTTATGTAATAATTTATGTTTGATCACATTAATTTCATATAAGAAAATTCTGGTTTAAAGTGAGTTGTAATTAAGTATTAGCATTATACAAATTACATTAGTTTATTAAAAAAAATTTGCTATACGAACATTGTTACTTAATTTATTTCCAAAAAAATTGAAATTTATGCAGAGTTCACTTGATTAAGGTGGAAGGGTCAAAATCACAAAGTGTACGGAATCGTGTAAAACTTTCAGCAAAATTGAATAACATATTAATGCACATTATATTGTTAAATATGAGCAATTTTTATCGTACGGTTTTCAAGATATTGTCGTCCGAAATTAACTATTTTTCTTATTACTTAGCATTGTGCTTATGGCCGCTGCGAACGAAAAACTGACAACTCGATATATATTACTTCATAACTTTTTATGCTCAATAAGGATTCATCTCAAAATTAAAGCAAAATTAATTTGAAATTCAAGGATCATAATGCTTCAAGTATTGTACAATTTACTGTTTAGTTACCGAGTATTTTTAATCCAAAAATTAAAGTTGGATGTAATTTTTTCTATGACACGAGAGACACAGAGAACGTGGCAACAGCGCAACTTTTGTGAGGGAGAAATTGAATGGCGGGAAGATTTAAATATATCCAAGTATTTAGAACATATTGCTTTACTTATCTTTTTTTCAAGAAAGTTAATGAATAAATTCTTGTAACTCATAATTATTTATTCTTGAAACAATTCATTATATTTTATTTTGATTTAAAATAAGTTACGTAGAAATTAGCTGTGTGCTGTGTGCATCAGCTGTTCTGCAGTGACTGCAGTGTTGCCACGTCTCGCACGGCGAAACACTACATTGTTCAAAATATTACTATTTTTTTTTAATTTTTATTTTTTACAAATTTGTACGTTCTAACATAAAAAAATTATTTGAAAATATGATTTTTTATTTTACATAATAGAATTTACTTTTTTTTCAACTTTTAGAAAAAAAAAGTTTGCTTTTGACTTACTGCGTGGGCCCTTCCACCTTAAAATTTAAATTCATGTCATTCTAAATTAAAATGTTGAAGTTAATAAACTCCGAATATAAAATTGGGTATTAAAACGCATATACCATTGGAAAAAAATATATGTATACAATAATATACTCTTTGTAATAATAAACATCTGAAAAACTGTTTGATGACTTTACAAAATAATATAAGTATCTGTTTAAAGTATTTTCGTTATAAGAGACATTTTCTCAAGATATTTCATAGCCTCCCCTGGTCGAGCCCGTTAAGGCGCTCCCAGTGCGGTTGAGAGCTATGATGGTCGAGGGTTCGCGTCTCAGAGTCAACACGTCGGAAGAATTTTTTTTTTTATATTATTGACGCTATATATAGCTATATATAGCTTCCTATATAGGAAACTATATTGGAAACAATATAGTTTCCCATATAGTTTCCTATATAGGTTTCGATATCGGAATTTTCGATAGTGGTACCAATTATGTAATTTAAAGATTCAGTACAGTTTTGCGCTAAACCTGTACTAAATATGTAATTTAAAGATTCAGTACAGTTTTACGCTAAACCTGTACTAAATACGTAATTTAAAGATTCAGTACAGTTTTACGCTAAACCTGTACTAAATACGTAATTTAAAGATTCAGTACAGTTTTACGCTAAACATTTACTCAATTGCGGACATTTACATATTTACACAACCTGTGCTAAGCTTTACGGTAAATTTTTCCAACTTGGCACGCACAGCTTTAATACAGGTTTAGGAAACTTTCGGTGCTGTGTGGGTATTTAACGTAACAGTGATCTCTAAAAACTTATATTTAAATTTAAAGTTCAAATGATAAATTTAAGTTAACATTAAGGATGTTTGTTGAATTATTTGATTGTTGCTATATGCTGAGATAAAAAAAACTATTGATTGAGTTCTTGAACTGAATTCTTTTTATTGAAACTTGTTATCCATCCAATAGAAATATATTTTAAAAAAAGTAAAAAAAACTACGTTCTGCCAGGGGAGGGGGGGTTGAAGCAAAAGTCTACGTTGGTCTACGTGAGGGGGGGGTCAAAAAGTGCTAAAATTCTGTCTATGTGGTTTATGGACGGCCCCTAATTGATTATTTATTGTTTTATATTGTTTATATTCCTTTTATACATATAATTGTGTACTCTTATTTTAATTTCTTTATTTTACAATATATCATTCTTTCGAAGGTTTCAAAACAGAGACTCGTTATTGACTACACCTCTCCTCTAAATAGATGGCGCTTCACGCCACAAGTGAACTCAAGGACTCGGTTCCCATCTGGCGAGCGAATCCTTTGGCATTTAAAAATAGATCATTACAAAGTGTAAGGATTAAGAAGAAAGAAAATTTCAAGGGGTAAGTCGATTAATCTTTCTAATTGTAAACTTCTTGCAATTAAAAGAAAATAAAAATCTAAATATAATAAAACAAAAATGTTGCGAAAAGAGAATCACGGTAGCGAAAGTATCTTCTAAAAAATAAGTCAATAATCCTTTCAAAATCATTATAATTCACCCGTATGGATAGTCCCCAAAAAGGAATCTTCTGACGGCACAAAAAAATGGCGTATGGTTATAGATTATAGAAAATTGAATGAAAAAACAGTTAGTGATGTTTACCCACTCACCCATATCTCTGAGTTTCTTGACTAAATTGGCCAAGCAAAATTCTTTTCCATATTAGATTTAGCCCAAGGGTTTCACCAGGTAGAGGTTGAACCAAAAGATCGCCATAAAACCGCGTTTTCTACACCCTACGGACATTATGAGTTTACCCGAATGCCTTTTGGATTAAAGAACAGCCCTTCGACCTTCCAGAGAATGATGGACAGAGTTTTATCAGGTTTATATGGATGATAAATTGTTTATCTAGGACATGTAATAACTGAAAACGGAGTAAAACCAGATCCAAAGAAGGTCGAAGCTGTTCAAAACTTTCCATAACCCAAAAACTGTAAAAATATTAAACAATTCCTGGCGTTAGTAGGTTATTATCGGCGGTTCGTCCCTGATTTTGCTACAATAACAAAACACAAATTATTAAAAAAGAATGTAAAATTTAATTGGAGTCTGGAGGTAGAATCAGCTTTTAATAAATTAAAAGAAAAACTGTGTACGCAACCCTTATTACAGTATCCTAATTTTCATAAACCTTTTATTGTGACACCGATGCCTCTGATTTTGCAATAGGTGCAATATTAAGTCAAGGTGAAATCGGGAAAGATTTGCCAATTGCTTATGCATCTAAAACTTTAGCTGGATCAGAGTTAAATTATAGTACAACAGAGAAAGAATTGTGGGCAATAGTTTATGCAATAAAACAATTACGGCCTTATTTATTTGGTAATAAATTCACAATCCTGACTGATCGCAGGGCATTAGTTTGGCTAAATCAATTAAAAGATCCAACAATAAATTCTAGATTGGCTAGGTGGAAGATGAAATTACAAGATTATGATTACGAAATTGTGCACAGACTAGGAAGGGTAAATGCCTATGCCGATGTTCTCTCTCGAAATCTTATATCTAATGGGAAAATATAAAGGTTAAAGGAACATTTAATTGAAAATTCAAAAAAAACAAGAATTTGAGCCTGATAGAAAATTAAATGAAAATTTCATTGAAAGGGTTTTTGTTAAATATGTAAGTAGGGAAATGGAAGAAAATGAAATTGAAAATGAAAGAATGAAAAGGGAAGAAATGAGGTTGAGAACTGAAATTGAAAAAGATAAGAGAAAAGACGGTGAAAGTAGGAAAATAGACGAAAACAAAGAAAATGACGATACGATTACAATTTACAAAAGGACAGAGATTTCAAAGGGGTATAATGTTATTTATAAGAATCAAATTAATCAAAGTATTGTAAATTTAACCTGAAGATGATGACGAACCAAGCCATCGAAACGTCGTTTCTTGTTTTGTGACAATAAACAATATTAATAACATACAATTTTTATGTTATTTTATTCCTTCCAAGGATCGAATTTTTCTCAACTTTTTATTAATCAAAGTATTTCTGTTGATAGCGGAGA